CCACTGCCACACTTAGCTGTTCCAACTAAGTTCTTAGAATGAAGTTCCTCATTTTTTATTCTTCCAGACAGTTATTCAACCATCAGAACCAAAAATGTTAAATCAGCAGTTAATCTTTGGATTATGGTAACTTGGCAATATTTTGGCAACCAACCCTGCTACAGCAACCTGCTAGTTTTTGTTTGGATGCCATTTTGTTTTCACGAAGTAAAGGCATTTTTTTTTAACTGAACATTTTTTTTCAACAATCTGCTAGCCGAATTACGCTTATGCTAGACTTTTATGGATCAAAAATGCTTAATCGTGACCAAGATTAGGTGCAAAATTGGGAGAAAGTGCAGAATCGCAAACTGCTTGCCGCGTTTTTAAGAATTGCACATACACGGTATACATGTACACGTCGACCTATTTTCATTAAAAAAAATCCCAGAATTGCACAGAAATGGCATTGCGCACACTCTTGACTTTGTCCATGTACACTGCTAAAGTCCTAGCTAGTAACCTTTATCGCCTTACCAAAATGTCACCAAACTACCTATTACCATATTCCAAAGATTAGCCAAATTAGCTTTTGTCAGCAAATAGGACATTATTCCAGTATGTTTCAGGTGTATTTATCATTGATTTTGCGAATGAAAGCCTAAGCTTTCTGTTTTTCTCACTAACAATTTTTTTTGGCTGATCTTTGGAATATGGTAACTGGTAGTTTGGTGACATTTTGGAGGCGATAAAGGTTACTACCTAGGACTTTGGTAATAATGTGAGAAGCACTCAGTTTCCGATTACGCATTATTTTGTGTGAGGGAAATGAGAGATCATGAGATATGTCAGTGACATTAATGGACGAATTACAGTTGTTTAATCGGAAAAGGGGGGAAATCTGGAAATTTCGTATTTAGCTATATTCTGTGTTGTGTGAACGTGACATTAATGGACAAATTAAGTTCTTTAATCGGAAAAGGGGGTTAATTTTGAAAAGCTTCATTGTGTGTTTGCGTGAAATAGGTTTATTAATTTCGGATTGCATGGCGCTACGTAAAGTGAATTCTAAATTTTTAATGCGTTTATCTGATATAATATAAGGTTGAGATTGTGTTAAAGGAGGATATTACAGTAAGTTTAATGGTGGTGCAGAAATATGGTGAAAATGGACATTTGTGAAAAGGAGTGTAAGGAAGGGTACGTGGTTTCCTGAAAGTAGTTTGAGTATAGGTGAAATTTTTAATTTCTTATTACTTGGTGAATAGACTTCCAGTTGACTACTGGATTTAGGATTTAGAATTAGCAGTAGTACTGCAGCCACGTAATGAAGATTCTGAAAAAGATTAGGTAAGTTAGTATTTTTAATCATTTGAGGATATTATTTTTGCATTGTTCTAAATGTAAGGAGTAAATAATTAATGTGGTATTATTGGAAAATTGTTATTAGCAATAATTTAGTTTAAAGTAATTAGGATTGTAATCTAATTTTTATTAATTTAATGTATGTGCTTATTTATATTTTAAGTAGTGTTTTTTAACTTAATTTTATTTTAATTTAATGATCGTGATTTTGTGAGTTATATATTTGTAGTATTTTGGAATACGTTTGAGTAGTATACTTTCATGCATTTTCATGAAATTTTTCTAATTTATGAGAAAAAAGCAGTGTACATGGATATAGTGAAGAGTGTGCGCAATGCCATTTTTGTGCAATTCTGGGATGTTTTTTTAAGTAAAAATATCATTTTAATTAAATGATAGTTATTTTGTGAATTTTATGTTTATAGGAATTTGGTATACGTTTCAGTTGAAGTAAACGTGTATGGAAATAATTTAAATATTTGACACTAAGTATTTGTAATTATTTTTGATGTTTGCGTATAAATTCGTTGCTGACGTTTATAATATAATAGATAATTTAGAGTAAAAGTTTTTGGATATTTTATTTATTTTATACGTGGAAATGTTTCATCCTTGGAAGGGTATATACTTTTTCGCGATGAGGTAATTTCATATATGTTCTTTTTACCGGATTTAAAGATTCACAAAATTTTTCATGCATTTTCGTGAAATTTTTCTAATTTATGACAAAAAAGCAGTGTACATGGATATAGTGAAGAGTGTGCGCAATGGCATTTTTGTGCAATTCTGGGATGTTTTTTTAAAGTAAAAATAAGTCGACGTTGTACATGGTTTAGTGATATTTTTAATTAAATGATAGTTATTTTGTGAATTTTATGTTTCTAAGGAATTTGGTATACGTTTCAGTTGAAGTAAACGCGTATGGAAATAATTTAAATATTTGACACTAAGTATTTGTAACTATTTTTAATGTTGCATATAAATTCGTTAGTGACGTTTATATATATATAGATAATTTAGAGGTAAAAGCTTTTGGATATTTTATTTATTTTATATGTGGAAATGTTCATCCTTGGAAAGGGTATGTACTTTATCGCGATCAGGTAATTTCATATATGTACTTTTTATCGAGTTTAAAGATTCACAAAATTTTCCTGCATTTTTGTGCAAATTTTTGTAATTTATGAGAAAATAGCAGTGTAGATGGATAAAGTTAAGAGTGTGTGCAATTCTGGGATTTTTTTTAAGTAAAAATAAGTCGACGTGTAAATGGTTTATGTGTATGTGCTATTCTGAAAAACGCACAAGGCGTTTGCGATTCTGCACTTTCTCCCAATTTTGCAGTTAATATTTGTCATGATTAAGCAGTTTTGTTACATAAAATTTCTAGCATCAGTGTAATTTGGCTAGTAGATTGTTGGAAAAAGAGTTGAGTAAATAAAAAGAAAAGAAACATGTCTTTTACTTCATGAAGACAAAATGGCGGCAAAAAAAAAAAAAATAGAGGGTTGCTGTAGCAGAGTTGGTTGCCAAAAAATCGCCAAGTTACCATAATCCAAAGATCAACCTTTTTTTTTTTTAACAGGCAGAAGACCCATGTAATCCAGCTTCTCTGAGAACTCGTCGAACAGTTTAAGGTGAAATTGAAGTAGAAAACTTTGCATTAAATTATGCAGAAACTTTTACAGCACTCAAATATGGGTTTTTCACAAATTTTCTAATAATAAATCTCTCATCACGTTTAGTTAACTTTCTTGGTTGACCTTTTCTTAACTTGTTTTCAATCCAATTTTCTTTTTTAAAGGATTTTATCACATACTGCACTGTAGAATAGGATAAATTAACTAATTTAGCAATATTTCGAATTGATTTACCACTACTATGGTGAAAAATTATCAATTTTCAAATGTTGTTTGTAATTTCTTTGTGACCCATTTTTTTTCAATAATAAATAGAATATTATGAAGTAAACAACAAAAAATTAAAGCAAACGGATTTTTAAATGCCACCACAATGCAAAAATTTTAAAAAGTGGCAAACGATAATTCTAATTTTGATTTATCCAAAAATATTTCAGTGTACGAAGACTTTTTTGAGATAAAATGTTTATCATTTTTTGATTATTAATTTCTTAAAAATAAAGTTCCGCTATATTTTAAAAATATTTCATGTAATTTGGTTACGAATAGATTATAGATTTTATTACTGAAATCTCAATCAGAAAGTTTACTTTTAATTAATGAAAAAAGCCCTATTTTAATGAAAATCATAAGTGTACGAAAACTTTTGGGAGCCACTGTATGTTAAATTTGGAAATTTTATGCTTTGGCTTTTATTAAACGTAACTGATATATGTAATTAATAATTATTTAACCTAATGAAAAATTATTTAGCTATCAAAATATGGGTGCCAAAATCTAATATCATGAATTTTTCTGATACAAATTAAAATCTCAGAGTATCACGGTTAATTCACAATGCATTTGCAAGAAGATTTTAATATTCTAGTAAACAATAAATTTACATATTCTAAAAAATGGTAATACCATTATAAACAGAAATGAATATTCACACTGAACAGAACACAAGATTGAATGAATATGAAACTTATTTTACCAGGCATAACCCACATAAAGAGATATTTCATTATTGGGAAAGTCTAGAATTACTCACTGCTTGGTGAGTTTTTAAGAATTGCACATACTCGGTATCCATGCACACATTCACTTAAAACGACATCCCAGAATTGCACAAAAATGGCATTGCGCACTCCTTTGACTTTATCCATGTACACATTGACCTATTTTCACTTAAAAAATTAAAGAAAATTGACAAAAATCCAATTCTTCTTACTGTAAAAAGCGCCAAACAAATAAGTGGTCGATTCTGAACTTTATACTTCATTATTTCATAAATTATTATTTGTATCTACTTATCCTTCATACATAATAAAAAATGAGTTAAGTACATAAGCAAAAGAAACTATGTATGTATTGCTACATAGCTGAAATGATTTGCAGTTTATGATAGCAGATGAAAAATAATGATTTTTTTCCCCTCCAAATAGTTCTATAAGTATTTGTTAATGATCTAATAAAATTATTTAAGGCATTTATAAAACCTCCTTTTAACAAATTTGATCTTTGAAGAGGAACTTTTTGTATACTCTAATAAACAGTTTTTTACCATACGATGACAGATGTGAGCTGATGATATGTTTATTTTTCATGTGTCTTCAGTTAGAAATTATGGATAATTATTTCTATCTTCCTACTTCACAACGAGTGGTTTTTATAAATAAATTCATAAAAACTTGTGAATTTGACTGTACTACAAAAGTGTATACCACTTATTATACAGTTTCCAAAAAAGTAAGTCAAATTCAGTTTCCTAACATAGTGCCGTATTATAATGAATAATACAATATTCACAAAAAGTATAACAGTTTACTGTAGTTTTTCGAAAATGATTACCGAAAAAATAAAATAGGATTAAGTGGTAACAACCTAATTAGGAAGAGAACTCCAGAGTATGCAGATGAAATCTTTTGACACATCACAGATGAGACACACTTCATTATGGTTATGTTAGTTTTAATCGCTAATTAATAAAACCATAATATAACTTTTAAAAATTTAAAAAGATGTAAAGCCCACCTCCTCCTATGGTGTTTCCATAGATTAAACGTCCTGTTACAATGATGTAAACACATAACTTGAAAAAACGTTGATTTGAATTCAGAAACATCATGCAACACAAAACAGAAAATATCTACACTCAGAAACAAACATATTCATTCGGAAACGTTTGATTGGAGAAACAACTTGTAACGTATAAGCCCCTGGAGATGATCAAGAACGCACGGTTTCCACGGTTAGTCAGAAGTTAGTCAATATACAATGCTTTCGTAGCAATAGATCTAGCATGACCTTAAAGGCTTCTTCAGATAAAAAATAAAATAATTCTTTAACAAAAATTAAAGATAGAAGTGAAAAATGTCAATAAAAACACACAGAAAATTGTTGAAAGGAAAAGAAAAACTGTATGAAATCTATGGATAATTTTAATATTTTCAGGTGAGCAATTATTTTCTTTCCTTGAATTTTCACAAATTTCGTGAGATTTAATTTCTTACTATTTAATCATTCAAGTTAATAAAAATAATAAATAGTTCATTAGAAAGGCAAAGCGGTTAGGAACTACATTGAAACTTAAAAATGCAATACTGTGTAGAGACGTCAGGGAAGAAATAGAAGGTATGATTCTATTTAAGGAATCAAGTCGCAGAAAAGAGCTATGCATCGGATAAGACATCGACCAGTAATAGCTTTGTCTTCCCAAGTAAAGATTCCCATCGCAATATATTACAAGAAAGTAAAAAAGTTTTGTTTATATTAAAAACTTTCTTTCTCGTGTATATATACAGGGTGTATCTGAAATGCTTCAACTAACTCAGAGGGATGATAGTACTAATCAAGACGATCAAAAAATGCAACAGAACATGGGGTCGCAAATGACGTTTAAAGGGTGAAAATCGAGAAAATGCGTCTTACAAGAAAGAAACTTCAGAAAATTATTTATTGCACAGAATAGGTACAACACCGCTTGTGATGTCCAGCTAAAACAAAAATTTTACAACAATTGTTCAAAGTGTCGACCGCGGACATTATCAGACAGGGACGGAGGAACGATTGGCGGACACGCTCGAAGATTACGGGAGTTTCCTGGATTTCTGCTGCAGCGGTCATAATAGGGGCCACTACTTCTTCTGGTGTCTCATAAATGAGTCCCCAGAAAAAGAAATCCAAAGAGTTCAGGTCCGGCGAGGAGGCCAGGCAACAGGGCCACCACGTCCAATCCATCTTGCCGAATAAACTGCATCAAGGTGGTTATGCACGTCCATAGAAAAATGAGGCGGAGCACCATCGTGCATGTACCAAATTTGTTGCTGAATGCCGGTTTGTGTCGCAGAAATCAAACGTGATAAGATATTCCGCAAGAAACTCAGGTAAGTTGGACCATTGCGATGGTCAGGCAGCAAGTACGGGCCCACCAGGTTATCACCGAGAATGCCGCACCAGATGTTGACACTGAACCGGAGTTGCGTATTTCGTGGAACAATGGTGTGAGGATTCTCTGTACACCAAATATGAGCATTGTGCATGTTAAACATGCTATCTCGGGTAAATGTAACCTCATCTGTAAATAGTACTTTGGAGGTAAATTACGTGTCGTTCCTCATTGTATCCGTTACCCAGCGTACAAATTCTAGCCGACGAGGATAATCACTTTCGTCAAGTGCTTGCTTGCACTTTCTATATGCAAAAAGGGTACATCCGTTCATTGCGTAGAGCTGTCCAGACTGACATGCGCGAAACATCCAGTTCAGCTGAAACTGGTCGCATATTGGTAGTCGGAAAGCCCGTAAACGACTGCAACACTCCTTCCATTTCTGCAGTGCGCACATGGCGGTTTCGCCCTCTATTGTATTTTTATTTCATACTCACTCATATGACAAATTGTATAAAAAGTGCTTGCATATGACAAGTACAATGAATTTAAAATATTTAATCCTGGTATCTCGAGAGTCTGCCCCCCTGATTTACGCCGACGTCGTACTTTTACGCGCTGCACCTCCGCTAAGAACAGTCCTGATTATCAACATACCAAAAGAAAGGAAAGAAAAGTCCAATCTAAAACAGTAAGAAAGGTAAATTGCTCATTCAAAAGTTTTCTTCTACGGATCCACACATATCCATCTGAAACATTATTTTTCTTCTCAAGTTTCATTTTTGATTCACACTTCTTACATCTTACATCCGATCTCAAAAATCTGAAATCTCTCAAAAATTGAAGGGATGGAAAAACTTCTGTCCGCATGTGAAAACCATACACAAATTTTTCATAAATAACATCAGTAGCATATCCCTGTAGAAAACGGACCTAATGTCATCCAAAATACATCCAACAGCACGGCGATGTTGCTGTGACATTGCAAATGTGTCACACTGAGACGATTTCAATGTCGCAGTAACGTTGTAGGCATGGCTTAATGTCCGCTTTTTGTGAATTCAAATGGCGACTTTGATGTGACGTTGTTGTGACATTGTTATGAAGTCACACTGTGACGTTGATGCGTAGTCACGCTGCGACATTGTTGGGAAGTTACACTGTGATATTGTTCTGAAGTCACACTGCGACATTCATGCAACGACACATTGACACTTTAATATAACGCCAATGAGAAACCATGAATGTAACATAATAAAGTGCCATGAACGTAATGACACTAAAGTTGCAAATGCAGTACAGGATTACCTTCTAAATGATAAGTGTGATTAATATACTCCTATTTTAGTGAACAGGTAACTACAACAATTTTTTTCTGCTCCAGTGAGGAATTCTTCAATGTATTAAATATTTCCGTAATATTCGGAATTTTTTAATTATTGAAAATATTCAACATAATCATTTGAAATTTTCTCATCGTACTAAGGTTGTATCTCACCCTATTAAGCTTATATAACTAATCCATTATATAACTAACCATAGTGTACAGAAAAAGCAGAACGTAGTATATATAATGCAAAAGTGATCATATGATCATTTTCTAAGCGTATTACATTGCAAATACTTGTGACTATCACTTGCCCAAAAAGTACACTGCGCGAAAAAAAAGGGGGGGCAGTTTTATATCTCTCGTTCTACTGGGCCGATTGATGGAATTCAAATTGCATTCTTCATGTCTCGAAATTGCGATTTAGGATAGATATTAGATTTATATATAGCTCTATTCTAACATAGTTATTTTGACACAAAATCGGACTTTTCCTGAAATAACATACCAATGTTGCATAAATATGAAATTTCGTAAAATTTGGTGCGAAATTTACTTAAAAATTCACAAATTTATATTGGCGCTTTTTTTTCAGTTTGCGCCAAGAATAGTTCACTTGGCGAATTTCTTAATATATGGCAACCTATTTTCCTTTCCCGTGAGTGGAAAAAAAGTCACAATCGTTCCTTTTTTCAAATAATGTTCTTTATATTATATTTTTAATTATAACAGTTATTATTTTAAGTATTTTTTTCTTTTCCGAACTTGATTTTAATTGTTTAAGTTGCATGGTTTTTTCGAATAACTGTTTTAAAAAATTCTATTTACCTATTCGAACTGCGTAAATAAAGGTGCAGCGTTTATTTTATTTATTTATTTTTCAGATAGTTTTCTTTATATATATATTTTGTTCATAGTTATTATTTTAGGTATTTTTTTAATTTTTACACTTTTATTTTAATTGTTTGTGTTGCATTGTCTCTTCAGATAACTGTTTTATAATTTTCTATTTATTCATTCGAACTGAGCATTTTAAATATATTTATTAATATAAATTTTCCAGGATTTTATTTCATTTATTTGAATTGCGTTTTTCTTTTTCGGAAAAATACTTTGTGTCCCAGGCTACGATGCATCTGAAAACTGAATATATTAAAAGAGTAAATAGAGTAAAGCACAGTTAACACATCTTTCAATGTTCCGTTGAGAAAAGATATATAAATGAGAAAGATGTATAACCGACATTTTGACTTAGAATGACTTACATATGTTGCTTTAAATAGCTTTAATATTGTGCTTTACACAATTTTATCATCCTACATTTAGTTTCTTAAAATGTTATTCATATTTTAGTCAAATATTTCATTTTTGAAATCGCAAGAATCAAATATCATAAGATTAAAAAGTTTTAAATTTTAAAAAATACTAAATTTTATGCAAAAATTTATTTTTTTCTTCTTAATGGCTTGCTATTTTTCTTCAGGCATTCTGAAAGTATATTAAAAAGCATGCAACTTTTCGAAATATCTTGGTATTTCTGACATTCATTTTAAATAAAATTATCGCCTTCCATTTCATAAAGGTCTACAAACGGCCGTGCGAGGGTTCGAATCCCGGGGAACGGGCTGGTTGCATGGACGTTTTCGTGGTTTTTGTTTCATTGTAATGTGTATGCCAGCTGGTTTCCCTTTGAAAGTTCTTCCCGAAGGCATTCCTCCTTTTAGGCAGATAGCTCTGCTTTGCCGTAACTTAATAATCCAATGCAATCCATTTCATCAGTATTTAGTCAGAGCCTTTATCAGTCTTTAGATGCTAAGCATTTTGAAGGCATGAGATGAAAGGAAAGACTGGTTTCATTAAGAGGAAAAACGTCTTTAGGTGACATCCACATACATCACAAATAATTCGACTAAGAAATCATGGGATTCTCCGTTTATGATGATATGATGTTCTATAACGTAATTTAAATTTATACAAACATATAGTCGAAAACCAGTCACTCTTCACTTTAATCTGCAATGATATCGTTTTTGTCTTTTCTGTTAGCACAAGCTCGGTTGATATGATATTTGTTGGTGTACACGTCCAAGTGTTTTCTCTTTGAACACACAAATTTCTTAAAGTATTCTGAAAGTACATTCAAAAGCATTCAACTTTTCAAAACACCTTGGTATTTCTGACAGCCAAATTCCCCTTCAAATTTTTGCTTACTTTTCTCCCTAATTTTCTTCTTTCTTTCTACATTTATTTTCAGTGCTCACCACAAGAAAATTAAGATTTTTCGATTGTTACACTTCCATAAATTTTGCATTCTTGCCAATTTTTTAAAAATATCAATTACATCAATTGCGTTTCAGTTGAAGATAGCTTTTCATTTTCTAGGTCTTTTAACTGTAAATAAAGTTTAAAGCAAAGTCCAAAGGATAAATATTTTAATTAAAAATGTTTTGCTAAATGATAAAGAAATAAAACAGTCCAGCAGTGTTTAATCCGTACCACTGAGTAACCCGATTATT